ATGTCATGTAGGACCCCATCAGAGGTAGGTGGACCCATCCCTAATAGGATTCTCTCAGAGGTGGACCCATCTGTGATAGGATTAAATTAGAGGTGGGTCCATCTGTCATAGGGTTCTGTTAGAGATGGATCCATCCGCACTAGGGTTCCATTAGATCCATCTCTAATCAGATACTACTAGAGGTGGGTCCATCCTTCATCAGATCCCATTCGAGGTGGATCCATGTGTCACAGGATTCTGTTAGAGGTGGACCAATCTCTAATAGCATGCCATTGGGGATGGAACCATCTTACTAGGATTCTATTAGAGGTGGATCCATATGTAATTGGAGTCCATTAGAGGTGTATCCATGTCTAATTTGATTTTATCAGAGGTGGATCCATCGTTAATATAATTATATTCGAGGTGGACGCATATGTAATGGGGTTCTATCAGACGTGGGCTTATTTGTAAAAGGATTCTATTCGAGGTGGGTCCATCCATACCAGGATTCCATTCGAGGTGGATCCATCTCTGATGTGATGCCACTAGTTGTGGACCCATCTCTAATGGGATTCTATTAGAGGCGGATCCATATGTCATAGGATTATATTAAAGGTGGTTCCATCTGTAGTGGGATCTTATCAGGGGTGGATCCATTCCTAATCGGATTCTATGGAAGGTGGATCCATATGTAATAGGATTCTCTCGGAAGTGGATCCATCTGTAGTACGATTATATGAGAGGTGGGTGTCTTTTGTGATGACGATGATGATGATGACGAGCATGTGTTTAAAGATGTTGCTGACGATGGTGATGATGATGATCATGTGTTTCAAGATGTTGCTGATGATGATGGTGATGACGAGCATGTGTTTCAATGCGCTGCTGATGACGATGGTGATGACGAGCATGTGTTTCAAGATGCTGCTGATGACGATGGTGTTGACGAGCATGTGTTTCAAGATGCTGCTGATGACGATGGTGCTGACCAGCATGTGTTTCAAGATGCTGCTGATGACGATGATGATGATGACGAGTATGTGTCTCAATATGCTGCCCATGACGATGGTAACGACGAGCATGTGTTTCAAGATGCTGCTGATGACGATCATGATGATGAGTATGTGTTTCAAGATCCTGCTGATGACGATGGTGATGACGAGCATGCGTTTCAAGATGTTGCTGATGATGATGGTGATGACGAGATGCGTTGGGAGCAATGCGTTGTCATAATGAGTTCCACAGAGCATAATCGAGTGGGAAGCACAGCCCACCAGACTAAAGTTATCCTCTCTTTACCCTTCTTCGTCCTCCTCCTCCTCCGCCTCCACCTCCGTCTCTTCCCCCTCGCCCCTCTTACTTCCAGTGGGTGAGCGCCGAAGCGCGTTCCAGAGAGATTAATAAGCCTTAATGTCTCGATTCTCCGGCCTCCGGAGGCCCGAAACAAACATTAGCGGATTACAAATTGATTTCTTTTGTTGTTGAATTTCAAAAGGGAATCCTTTTGTGGTGAACTACACATTGTTTTATTTTGTGGCAGATTACAAAGGATTCCTTTTGTGGAGAATTACAAAAGGACTTCTTTTGTGGAGGATCACATGATGATTTCTTTTTGTTGCGAATTACAAAAGGGAATCCTTCTGTTGTGAATTACACAAGGATCTCTTTTGTGGAGGATTACAAAGGGATTCCCCTTGATGGAGGAATACAATGGGATTCCTTTGTGGAGGATTACAAATTGATTTCCTTTGAGGGCTCTCCTGGAAGTGAACCAGGGGACAAAAGAAAAAAAAAATAAAAAAAAAGAAAAACCCCCAAAAAATATAATCTTTGAAAATTGAGAAAGTTGCATGTCCGCAATGAATTTCCAATGGTTTGCAAAACCTTTTTTTTTATATATATGAATATATATATAAAAAAAGGTTTTGACGCCGAAACCATATGCAAACATAGCATTTTTGCATTCGGATTGTGGACATGCTGTGTTTTTATATGTTTTTGCTTCAAAGCATTGGACAATCATTGGAAACCTGCAATTTTCTTAATTTTCAATGATTTTATGTTTTTTTTTTTTGTTTTTTTCTTTTGTCCCCTGGTTCACTTCCAGGAAAGCACTCAAAGGAAATCAATGTGTAATCCTCCACAAAAGGAATCCCTTTGTATTCCTCCATTAAAGGGAATCCCTTTGTAATCCTCCACAAAAGGGATCCTTTTGTAATCCTCCACAAAAGGAATCCTTTTGTAATCCGCCACAAAAGGAAACAGTTTGTAATTCACTATGAACAGAATTCCCTTGTAATTACCAACAAAAGAACTCAATTTAAAATGTGCTACAACAGGAATCGTTCTGCATTTCACTACTTTGAGCAATCCCCTTAAGGATGACGAAAAGCATAATCAACAGGAAAGCAAGCACATCAGAAGTAATAGACCAAAAACCGAGGTGGTACACACACACACACACACACACGGTTTTATCAACCTTACGGGGGGGGGGGGGGGGGGGGGAGGGGTTAGG